CCTCTCCTCTCCGCTCTTCTCTTCTCCCCCCCGCTCTTCTCTTCTCCCCCCTCCTTTCCTCCCCTCTCCTCCTCTCTCTTCCCCTCTCCTTCCCTCACCTCCTCTTACCTTCACTCTCCTCCTCTCCTCTCCCCTCTCCTCCTCTCTCTTATTGTCCTCTGTAGTGAGGTTAGATGTTAGGTCACCCAGACAGGCACTGTGGTTCAGGCTCAGTTAGCAGTCTCATTCTTCCAGCCCCTCTAAGCACCAGCCATCTAAATCTGTAACCACAGGCACACAGAGCTCAAACCCCCTGTCTGCTACACAGCAGATGCACTTAACCAGGGACCTTTGTCCTGCAACCCCAATTTCTTGTATCTCAGTATCACCTTCCAGTAGAAATCACAGGTCTTCTCAAGTCTGGGCCTGATTCAGCTCCTCGCCCCATCATGCTTGATCTTGGATTTCTAAAGACAGAGAGACAGCTCAGTCACACGCAGAGAGTATCAGTTCTCTTTCCACAAGGTCTGTTTCCTCCTCACGATCCCAAGACCCTCCCATCTTCCCCGGAATGGCAATTTTCCACTCCAGTTCCCCACAGACTCTAGATAGCCCTGTTCCTCAATAGTTATGGCAATCATCTTCCCTTAACAACCGAGAGATGGAAATTGGTACTATTGCACTAGGCAGGGCCTGAATTGGGAAGTGAAGTTCCATGGTAAAATAATAGGAGGCAATGGGCACTCAGGGAGTGATTACACTCCATTCAAGTTTCTAGTCCCACTCACACGCATTGTGCGTCTTCATTTGAGTCGTTTGTCCTGTATGTTGAAGGGTCCAGATCCCACAATGGCTCTTTATTGAATGTCAGTTCTGGGAGGAGAGCCACTCGCCTACACGGCGCCAGGTCCCGATCCCACTCCTTCTTCAGTGGAGGGCTGGCATGTGTGGACAGCCTGCATGTGGGCAATCTGTTAACTTCAGGGACAGCATGCTTATCAAGTGTTGGAAACTTTCATTATTATTATTATTATTATTATTATTATTATATTATTCCCACTCTAATCAGAAAAGAATAATCCAGACAGGAAGTAAGAGTTATAAATGAGCACAGCGGATACTTGTGGACACTGAAACTGTGTCCCACATATCTGCATAGCTTTTCCCGAGGTTTTGTTTTTTGTTTTTCTGTTCTTAACAACAGTGTAGATATATTTTTTAATATTATGCAAAAAATAATGGTACAACTCTAGATTTGTGGGCTCTGAATTTTTACAACCCGTTGTATTTCCTATTACAGAACTGGGTTCCCAGCTCAATCCTGGTGACATGAGATAGGCCTTCACACACTGTCTTTGTCCCTTCTGTCTGTCTCAGAGGCTCTGTGCTCATGCTTATTCTTAAAGGGGTGGAACACTGTTTGGCAATCAGAAGCTCTGTGCTTATGTTGGCACTTAAAGGGGTGGGCCACTGTTTGGAAATAAAAGCCTTCACATACCACAGAGCTGATAGTTATAGTTTCATGTGGTGATGTGTAGCAGCTTGTCTGTGCTGTCAAGGACAGTCCTGACAGCTCAGGAGAGCTGTAAGAAAAATAGAAGCAGCTGACCAGCCCGAACAGACAAAACCACTCTTCTCACCACAAAAGTGAGCTGTGCTCTGGAAAGATGGGTCTGTGCCTTGCATAGTTCCTAGTGTCTGCTATTGTTCGTGGAAAAGAGGAGAGAAAGAGGATGAGACACAATGGGCCAGTACTAGGAAATAAAGAGTAATAAAAGTACAATAAAAAGAAATCTCCCACAGGAAGGTTACTGCCTTCACAATTCCCCCGACACAAACACACACACACACACACACACGCACACGCAGACCCACATACACACACAGAGACTCATGGACTCATACACACTGAAGGATGTTACTAAAACCTTAACCAACTCACTACTTTTGAGCTGGGACAACTCCTGACTTATCTTGAGACAAAGCCACACAGGCTGGGATTCAGGGAACCTGGTTAGAAGATCTCAGACCTTCCCTGGCTAAGCCTGGGGGTTGGGAGAAACCTCACATTTCAGTCTGAGTCTCTGAAGGCCAGTTCCGAGAAACTGTTCATAGTGGCCTTGGTTTTGAGGCAGAATCAGGAGAAATGAAGGGTTTCTTTGAGGGCCTGCTCAGACTCAGAATGACTTTCTAGAACCACAAGAGGATCTCCAAAGGCCAGAATTTCCACCAATGATCTCTTCCCAACTGTTTAGAAGGCATTTAACACAATTTCTGTGTGAGTTGGAGTGATTTACTTGCTTACCAAAGCTCAAGATCATCATAGACAACCACAGACAAAGGAGAGAGGTGGTCTTGGTTAATACAGATAGGCCTTAGTTAAAAAAAAATCAGCAGCAGCTTCAAGGCTTTCTGAAAAGTAGCTGGAGGAAGTCCAAGAGGAGGCTTAGGAGGAAGCGAACAGATGTGCTGGGGCAAGGGTCTGAGGAGGAGTGGAAGTAAAGGGAGGGGTGGACTTTCCAGCCACAGGAGGATGCTGAGGAGCATGTGCCAGACCTGACCACATTCTTCCTCCTGCCCAGTGTGACCTCAGTTCTTCACGATCATTCAGACACGCCTGCTTCCTGGAGACCAGCTCCCCAGTGAATCTTCCTTCTCTTGACTGTTTGGCTTCTTAGTAACACATGACCTAGCACTTCAAGAGCTGGTTTATGTTAATATTTTTACTCAAAAATTGCACTCATTTCTTCAATAACTCTATGTTTATTGCAGTCTCACTATGATCTTTATGCCAAATACATCCAAATGAATGTTCTGGTTTGTGTGTGTGTGTGTGTGTGTTTCTTTAATTGGAATCATTCTTTGTTTAGATGTGTATTTACCAATTTCCTTAAGTGGTTCATTGTTCATTTTGTGTTTCTCATGGTCTTGGGGCCACATACTGTCAACAGACATTGCTTCATTCAGCTCTTTAATAGAAACTTTCCTGGACGTTGCTGGTAGATGTGCTGGAAAAGTTTCCTCTTGCTAGCCTCTCCTTCCCGCTTTGAAGTACCTGCCTTCCCTGTGGACTCTCTCAGCACTTTGGTTTATACGGATGTCAGCGGATAAGGAGCAGGGGTAGCTCCAGGCAATGAAAGCTGTCATTGTCAAAGATGAGAGCCTGCCTTCAGTTGAATAGACCTCAGCTTTGCTAAACGCAGTGTTTTAGTTTAAAGTCCCCCATGCAGGCTCCCAAAGAAGTGGAGAGTCTCAAGGCTAATAATAACAGGAACTGTAGTAGCTACCTGGAGACTTTGTTAAGTACGCTGCTTGTTTAAGTGTTAGGAGGACTTTGATCATGTGGGTTTGACCTTATGTTGACAGACCACAGTGGCAAACATGAAGGATCACTGCTGGGCACTTACTCCTTTATTGTCTTCTTAGGCTCAAGCTCCTTCCAAATCCACACCCAGGCAGAAAGCTCCTCTGTCACTGCTTCCCAAGCCTCAGAGAATCCACGTATTGAAGCTTTGTGTGTCTACCTCTGTCCTCTCTCGGAATGTGCAGTTTACCATTCAAATCAACTTGACAATGACATCTATCAGTATTAGAACCATCTCTTCTCTCTCTCTCTCTCTCTCTCTCTCTCTCTCTCTCTCTCTCTCTCTCTCTCACACACACACACACACACACACACACACACACACTTATACACACACATACACCCACAATTCTGTATATTGTATCCTAGAGAGCCTCTCTCACTTCCTTCTCTGCAAACTTACCCAGCGGGACCCAGAATCTTCTCCAGTTCCTGGTTCTAGCTCTCTGTGCTGTCTTACTCCAGAGCCTGTCTCTTCTGACCTTTATCCACAGGCTAGTTCCAACTACCCAGAAGTTTCAGTACAGCGAGCCCAGCAG